GGAGGGGCGCCCCGGAAAAAGAAGACAGCGCTCGCGGGAGAGAAGGAGTTGATCGAAACGCGCCAAGCAACCCCTTCCGCCATTTCCACCCGCGTCGTGCGTACCAGCGCTGCTCGGTCTTCTTGCCGCGCGTCGTAGATTGATTCTTCCAATGGGGAAACGTTTCGCCTCGGTCCCGCGCTCAACGATAAGGGCTCGCGCGAGAGTAGTCGGCAACGCAACCACAGCCCCGCTGGCGGAGACGCGAATATACATATATAGATGTACACGAAAGGCTGCTGAATGCGTAATTGCGAAATGAAGCGCTCGCTCTTGGCTTTAAAGCCCAACTTTCCTCTCTGTAGGTATATACCGGCTAGAACAAAGCTCTTAACTTCTCTCTCGGTGCCAAGCCAAAGGGAAGTCATTTTAGCGTAATTTTAACTCAACTAACGCGCGTTACTTTCCTTGCCCTCGCGCACACATAGGCGCGATTGTTATGCTCGTTAGCCCGACACTCGCTCCACCGCTGATCGATTCATTAGAGCGGCGCTCTCCATTCCGCGCGCCGTAAAAAGCGGCAACGTGCTCGCAAGTTCGCCGCTCTCATCAGCGAACCCGTGCGCGGAGGAAAAGGAAAGACCCGGGAAAAAACAGACGCCGGGCCAATTTGACAAGCGCTGGCGAGGGCGGAGCCGTTAACGAGGACGCGTCGATGCTGCGACGAGGGCGCAGCCGGACACGAGGACGCGCGCGACAATCGCCAAATGTCATTCCGGGGATTTGCGCAACGCTCGCGAGCGCGGCGTCGTCCCCGATGATAATTGCTCTGCGCCGTTTTTCGTGGCCGAGGAGCAAAGGGCGAACGCGCGTCCGAGCTCGACGCGTGTATCGACGAGGGGGCCGAGCGAGCGAGACAAATTGCCAAGAGGGGAGGCGCCACTACGCTGCGGGCAAGTCGACGTCGATCTCGCTCGAGGCCAACTCGCCCTCCATTAATCTCGCAATGAAAGGAGGATCGGGGCATTAATTTTTCTCCGGCGCTGAGTGGCCGGGGGAGGGGCAGGGGGGGGGGGCGATGAAACGACGCACCCGCGCGCGACCGGATCGAGCTAACTCGGGCATGCGGTCGCGGCGATAGAGCGCGCGCCGCGAGCAGCCCCCTCTGGGCACTCCTCCAAGAAAACGACGAATTAATGCCTTTTCGGGCCAGACCAACGAGCCATTCGTTCTCAAAAACAATGTTCCGACCGTTTAAATCACCAACCAATTGGCCCGGCGAAGTATTCCCCTCCAACTCCCTTCGTCCCGACGACAGCCGAGCGCGACTCTGCTGTGCAATTACGAGTTTAGAAGCCACCGTTCGGTAATTGACCCGCGCGTCGTAATACTCGTCGGCGCTTGTAAATTTTCATTTTGCGAGGCTTCCACCTAATCGGAACGAAGCTCTCTCGGCGAATCGGCTAATCGCGACGAGCGCGGCGAAGCCAGATGCCGCGGAACAAAAAAAAATAACGAAAAAAAAAAGAGAAATTGAAAAAAAAAGTCACGTCCTCGCGCGCGCGCCAAATTGAGTTTCAACTTTTGCCTGCCGCCGAATCATATTAGAAACGCCCGTGCTCGCGCGCAGGAGAAACGTGATACGCGCGCACGCAGGCGGCGACGCGTCGAAAGACTTGCACGGTGCGCCCTTTGAAAATTTTCGCGCAGCTTCTTCGCCCTCCCGTTCGCGGCTTGATTAGTTTTCCGAAGTTGCGTCGGACGGAAATACTGGAGGGGTGGCGGGGAGAGCTCGCCTCGAGAGGCGCGCCGCGAATATCGCGCGCTTATCCGCGGCGGCAGCATCGGCTGGAAATGGCGAAACGCGACGGCCAGCTTTTACGCGATGTTATCTGCAGGCTAACGTAATCACTTTTGCCGACCAGCGCTCCGATTTCCAAGTGCTCTTGGCTGATTTCAACCGTTACGCTGTCGCTTCGGGGCTTCGCTTCTGAGTTGGTTTTGATGATCAGCAGCGGCGCGGCAACTAAATTTGCAAGCAGCTGTATATCGCGAGAATTTTCGTTGTCTCGGAAATCGAATCTCTCGATGCACGCGGATTTTTCAAAACTTTCGCCGCGACCAATGAAAACATCGAATTTCGCGAACGCAGAACTCGTCGGATCGTATAAAGCTTGATTTTAAACGAAAGTTGTCGCTTCTCTTTCGGCGCAAATTCTTGTTAAGCGCGATAAAAAAAGAATTTCCGTGGTATAGACGACACGGCACAGTTAGATAATTGATAGTTCGCCGCTTTAATCATTGAAAAAGGACGATTTTTACGAATGCGCACGTCGCATCGGGAAATGTTGGTTTATTATATTAATTGGAAAGCACGGTTTTCCGCGAGATGGTGCGCACTGCGCGGCAAGCCGATTTTCCGAAAATGAACAAACACGCGGTGCGCGGCAGAACGCTCCGACGGATGTATCGAGCAAACATATATATGTGTGCGGACTCGACGATTCGTGTAAACGGAACGACACGCTGAAAAAAAAAAGAAAAAAACGCAGCGCTCCGACGATCCACGATGCTGCGCTGCCGAGCATCGCCGATGCTTCGGTGTGCGCGCGCGAGAAACAAAAACGCGACCGCGCCGTAAGTCGCGGCGTTGACGCACCTCGACGCTTGGCTGTTGTTTTCTTCCCTCGCTGTGTGCCTTCACGAGGGAGTGCGCGCGCGCACACTCGGATTCGCAGCTTTCTTTGGTTGGAGTTGCGGAGATTCCTAGCCATGACGCGATCCTCGGGGGCTGCTCGCTGACCATGTGCGCTTCCTTTCACGCCAGTCAGTATAGGACCGATCTTAGCCTCGGTCGCGCGGTAACGAGTGTCGGGGGAAAAAAATTTGTTGTCGCTCGCAGAGTACAAAGTGTTGGACAAGATCGGCGAGGGCTCGTTCTCCGAGGTGTTGAGATGCGAGGAACGGCAGAGCGGCGCGCTGTACGCCGCGAAACGCCTGAAGAAGATCTACACGAGGTAGGTCTAGGCGAGGCGCGAACGCTCGCTCGGAGGCCCGACCGCGCGCTTCCGTTTCAGCGTGGGCGAGATTCTGGAGTCGGCCGAGGTGACGGCCATGCGGAAGATCGCACGACACCCGAACGTTCTGTGCATGCTCGAGACGTACCAGTGAGTAGGAACAGACCGCCGGCAAATCGCGTCGCATCGTTGCTCGTGCGCTCGATCCGACCAACAGTGAGATGCTGCCTGGACGAGTGACCCTCGTGTTCGAGCTGATGGACATGAGCCTCTACGACCTGATGCGCGATCGGAAGGGGTATGAGAAGCCTCTCGTTTTCCCGCGACAATGAGTGATTTTGCGCGCGCGCGCGCTCGACAGGCGTCCGATAGTGGAGGCCCGCGTGAAGAACTACGTGTACCAACTGCTCAGAGGCATCGCGCATCTGCACAAGCACGGCCTTTTCCATCGGGACATCAAGCCCGAGAACATCCTGCTGAAGGTAAGGCGCGCGACATTCGGCGCCGGCCCGCTTCTCTCCCTGACACTCCGGATGCACGCCAGGGCACCACCCTCAAGATCGGCGACCTCGGCTCGGTACGCAGCCCCAACGGCCGGCCGCCCTACACCGAGTACATATCGACGCGCTGGTACCGCTCGCCCGAGTGCCTCCTCACGGGCGGCTTCTACGGGCCGAAGATGGACGTCTGGGCTGCCGGCTGCGTCTTTTACGAGCTGCTAACGTGAGCCAGCTTTTCAATCCTCGGGTATGTCCGCGTGGAAGCGCGACACTGTAAAACCGGCCGCGCGCGCAGCTTGGAGCCGCTGTTTCCCGGCGAGAACGAAATCGATCAGATCTCCAAGATCCACTGTGTCCTCGGCACTCCGCACCCGCGGCTCATCGCCAAGTTTCGACGAATGTGAGTATCCGACGAAGACCGCAACGTCACTTGCCCGCCGATAGCGACGGCCGAATCCGAGTTTAGCACGAGGAGGCGCAACGGCGAGTTGTACTTTCCGATGCGCGAGGGCCGCGGACTGGTCGTCCTGCTGCCCAGGCTGTCGAGCTCTGGTCTCGAAGCCTTGCAGATGATGCTGGTTTACGATCCCGAGAACAGAGCCGCTGCCGCAGCATTGCTCTCTCACCGTTACTTTGCCGACTTGAGGTGCGAATGGTTTTGCTTTTTTACTATCGACGGCCGCGATTCGACGTTAATTCGCGGTGATTCAGGATGAGAGAGGCGGTAAAGCAAACGAGAAGCTCGGTAATACCCGGCAGCGAACCGCAATGGCGAAGTCCATCGGTCCTGACGTATCTGGAGCAGCGTAGATTTCAAGTACCGTCAAGCTTCGTTACCACTCGACTTTTAAAATGCAATTAACATCTCATGCGGTTGTTTGCAGTTGGTGAACGCGGCGCGGATAGTTGAATCGACTCCGAATGCCAGAATGCCGGCGCGACTCGATGAGCTGAGACAGACGCACGTTGGACGCTATTTCCTCAAAAAGCGCCCGAACAATGTGAGCATTCGCCATTCGGAACCGCAGCACTTCGACTCTGGTAAATTAATCTTCATTCGTTAGCGTCTCAATCCAGAACTGAGAAAGCAGTCGCATGACGAGAATGGACCTACCGCCACCCGACGAAGTTTCTTCTTGCGCGAGGATCGCGCGGCCAAGTAATGACAGTTTTGTTTTGTTTTTCCTTTTTTTTGAGAGCCGTGACGTTGACGCTGTATTTTAGCAAAAATCAGCTGCCTTCGATTTTCGTCAAGCCCGACGTGAAAATTGTCACTTCGACGTATATACTCGAAGATCCTGTACAAAGTATTTTATATGCGAAGAGGGTCATTGCTTTACTTCAAGTGGTTGCAGTTAATTGATATTCATATTTTAGGTCTGCCGTCGAGAAAACCATCATCCATCATATCACCATTAAAAAAAGATGCTAAAACGCGACGATAGCCGCCATCAACTGAGACTAATCCAGTGAGAAATAAATTGTCTACAGTCTATTTCTTTTTTTGTACAAACGCATATATTTATATCTTTTACATAAAAAAATGACAATACATTTTGTAATAGAAAAATTTTCGATGAACTCTTATATATCTATATTATGTCTAAAGAACAAAATTAGTGAATATGTAGTATGCTCATGTCAGAATAGTGAAAATTAGAGTAACAATGTGGTCAAAAATCGTCAATGGCAGTCAGTGATCATAAAAAATATATAGTATATATATATGTATCTATTAGAGGCAGCTTCTTTGATTACGTTTTAAAAAGAGAAAAAGTAGAACAAATGTGTATTGCAGACACTGTTTAACTATCTTCGTGCTTGTATATATATAAATATATATCACTTCACCTTGTTTATTTTAACAATGCAAATTAACGAGGAATAAAACATGACATAAAATCAATCGAAGTGTTTAAAATAATTATGTAAGAATTAAGGATATAGAATACTCAAGTTTTAATCTTTTTTGTGTAATTTCTCTTGTTTTTATATAATTTTATAAATAAATTTTTTACTTTTATTTTATTTGAGTTCATTCCATTACTATTGATATAAAACTAAAATATGTAATAATCGTTTTTCTTTCCTAATGTTTTCCTAGTCCATAAAAATTGACATTTCTGAAGAAACAACTACGTAATACTTTTTGATAATGATTCCCATTTGTTAGACAAATAATTTAACAAAATCAGCGACTATAAAAAAGGCAGACCATCGACCAGGAGGTCTTAACTACAACTAACACAGGAAAATGAAACGATTCTGTTCTAAAAATCGAACAATTTAATAATTAATTCTTATTTTTGATGCAAAACGTTCCTTATTTTTGATGCAAAATTATTCCTAAAGATCATGTGTTATCGATAAAATAGTGATCCGTTAAATAAAAATTTCATTTACATAAAAATGTAAGTAATATACTAGTATGTCGAGTATGCTATAACCTTAATGCAATGACATTAAACAAGCATTGCTTTTGTCAATTAATAAAATAAATTTATAAATATAATAAACTATTTTAACGATGGTAATCACTTCTTCTTTAGAACCACTTTTAACATACCAGGATTTACTTCTGTGAATCTGAAACATACGAAAATAGTTCTATAGTAATCAATGTTTCAATAAAATAAAATCTTATTTTACTATTACACAACAGTACGATATTAATTAAAGATTACTCACCTAAACCTTTTGTGATTTAATTCTTTGGCGATGGCAGGCTTGATTTTACTCTGACCATTAACGCTTCTTAATCCCCTTCCTGTTATAATAAAAATAATTTTACGCCCACCAGGAGACAATTGGCTTAGCTGACGATCCAGGAAAATCTGCAAGACCACTTTCGCTTCGGAGACATGTAAATAGTGTAAATCGATGGTGTTTTTGACGTCGAGCACACCAGTTTGAGCTGCGAGAATGGCTGAGGCTGCTGCTGAATTTGCGGCTTCCATGTTTCGAATGTGTAATTTTGCCTTAGAACGAAAAACATGCTTTATTGTTTAAATAAAATTTGCATTTCGTGTGTAAATAATGCACTTACGACATCAGAGTAGTAAGCAGCAACTTGTGGGTTCTTTTTCCGGTAATGTTCATTTGCTTTTCTATAGTTCTCATTTCGAAGTATTAACTGATATTGAGCTTCGGATCTTGATTCGCGAGCTTTTTTCATAGCATCTTCATAAGACATAGATCGGTATGATTCATACATATCACCACGAGCTTCGTCTACATCTTTACTTTCCTATAATCATATAATTAAACATCAGTTGACTCAATAATTTAAATTTATCAATCTTTGAAAATGTCAAATTACCTTATCGTTATGTTGGGATTTTTGATAGTCTCGTTCCTTTTGTACCTCATCAAAAAGGTGTTTCCGCTTTTTCAGTATATCAGCCATCGTCAGTTTACACGTAGTAAAACAATTTTCTTTGATGACTGTTACCGTCTCACTAAAATTGCAATTGTGAGCCGTGTAAATGTCATTTATCATATCTCGATCGCAGTCGGGGAACATTTCAACCAAAGTGTCTCTCGTTAACGTGACTTCCATTTGTTTGAGAGATGCACTTTTGCAATCTTTTTTCTGAAAAAAATTTTTTATTTTTATATGCTGGATTACAGCTTTAAGTATTTTTCTTTATCACTAACCGGGTTTTTTAGATAAGCTGCTAGAGCCATTTCCATGTCCATGATTTCTTTAAAATTTGGTACTTCTGGTTCACTAATTGCTATAGCCTTTTGCACTTCCTCATCTTGTTCAGCTTCTAATTTTCTCGCGAAATCTGCATCTGAATATTTACCACAATATATTAACCCAAATGAATTATTTTGAAAAATATAAGTATCTTATTAATTAAAACTTACCTCTAGCGATCATCCCATCTAATTGCTTTTGCATAGTCCACAATTGTTGCTGCATGCTGTCAATCCACAAGGCATATAGCTCCTGTGCCATAGACTTTCTGATCTTTATCACGGGAAACAAGCCATCTGATTTTGGAAAGGTTGGCTTACCAAACTCAGCCTCGAGAGTTCTAATAAATTCATAGCCGAGTTTCAACTCCATTATTTCTTCGCTAGAATCTTCCTCGGAAGTTGTTTCTTCGGAAGTTGTTTCTTGATCATTGTCCATAGCAGCAGGATGTTCAAATCTCGTTATTTCGTCAAGTTTGGGTTGGTTATTATCGAAACTTATAAGATTCTGCTCTGGTTGCCTTTTTGGCGAAAAATCCCGATTCTTCCAACGTTTTACACGTAAAGTGTGCGATGGGTATGAATCTTTACTTAGCACGAATTTCTCTTGTAACTCGCGCTGTAACTCCTCTAACTTCTGGGACTTGAAGTTTTTGTCTCGATACTTACGAGATTTGCGTGATTGTTTTTGTGGAACTTTGGTCGTTGATTCAGAACTGTTTGTAAATTGCTTCGGTGTTGGCTTGACTTCTTGTGCAGCTGAAGATGAAGATTGTCATTAGCGATAAATTATGAATAATAATGATTTTTCGACACTCCGTGCGCAAAGTGCGGCTTTCCCGTACGCTCGACAGAAAACGTGCGTTGAAAATCGCACTTTCCACACGTCGTATCAAAAAATACGGTACGGCACATGTTATGTATTATGTATTATGTTAATTATTAATACACATATTATGCACTTGTATCGTAATGTACTATTTTTTAACGAGCTCAACTCACTAAAAAATCTCTTACAATTTGATAGCTCAACTGCTTTCGAATTATGAGAATTAACGATCAATCATTCATAATTAATTTATCTGAAGGCCAGTGCAAGTAAACGATAATATAAAACGTTAACAATAGTACATTACGATACAAGTGCGGGAAAGTATATTCTTGTCTCGTGTGGCGTTTACACCCGAGCGAAGCGAGTATCGTAATGTACTATTACCTGCTTCAAGTTTATTTACAGTCTGCCTATTATATTAAGATAATAAGTACATGTAATTGCTATATGAATATATTTATATATCCAGTAAGTATTCTGTTTTTTGTTTAAAGTATAAATCTAATATAAAAATTTAAAATTATAAGATTGGCCTGAAATGGAATTCTCAGACTGGTGAAAAGTTGTTCAAGACGCTTAAAAATTTTGCATTATTTTTGTATCTTGAATAATAAAAGAATGTGTACGCGCAAAATAAGCGCGTTGTTAAATAAAAAAGTGAACAATTTTTAATTAAATAATAAAAAAACTCACTTCCATCCTCGGGCAAATTAATCACTTTCTCCTCAAGACCAATGAGTGTTTTTTCCTTCTCAGATTCGGTCATCGACATCGCCATATTAACGTCTTCGAAGTTTAACTGCATCAGGTATTCAGTTGCCCAATCAAAGTCCCTTTGGCACAGATTGTCGTACACTTCGAGAACGTATTTACTTGGGATGTGACTGAAGTTTTTCACCAACTCTTCGCCACGATACTCCTGCTGGGGATCGACTTTACGGTTGAAAATAGCTTGAAGATGTGCGATATCTCTGTCCCTGGTCATCGTGCCTTTGTGTAACATCAATTTGCGTCTCAAATTCGTCGTGTCTATAAAATACGAAAAAATGGTACTTTTTCTGATTCGAAAAGGAAAGGATCACCGTGGAAGCACTTGCAATACTGAACTATGTTTAGCCGTGCATCAAAACATTTATACGAGAGGAAGAGGGGAGGGGGAAGAGAGAGCAAATTTTGGGCCTATTAAAATATAATTATGGAAATCGAGAAATGGCCAATAGAAAGTGGCTGTCTTTTTTGAAAATCCCACCCCTTTCTGTTGAAAGTTATAATTTAAGATTTTATCTAATGATTTTCAGTAGTGATTTATTGCCAGGACGTGCCTAATTTCGTTTTGAAACAACCATAAACTCACCATCCAATACAGTCAAGTTCCCCTCATTAATACTTCGATTGTGTGCTTTAATGACCTTGAAATCGTCGGCACCAATAAAGGCGACATTGAAGTCGTAAGGGTCCGTGAACGTTTCCTTGTCATGTAATACGGATTTAACTTGAGCTTCATCTTCAATGTTGATAAGCAAATTCGGTACATTTTCCACGGGAAATGGTGACTCGTGCCAACTGATTAAGTTGATATTGTTAACTGCGTTACCGTTGTCATCGCTCAACACTTCTGCTGGAGGACTGTTGTGATTCTACACCATATTAATTAGAAAATCATTAGTTGAAGTTAGGTCACTCGTCAAAATTAAATTAAATTACAATTGTAATAAACAATAGAATGATTATCTTAAAATATGCTGTGGATAAAAATGGTGTGAATATTAAATTTATTTAATTTTTTAATGATCAACTATCGTAAGTCATATTGTTAAACTAGGTAATTAAAAAGATATCAATGTATAAAATATTAAAATATCATGTAATTTACTGAATACAAAAGCAAGACGGTATAGATATATATGTACTCTACGTAAGTTAATTAAAAAAGATCAATTTCCAAAAAATAATTAAGAATATTAACTAATAATGAAAGGTCACTAAAATATAATAAATAATATTTTGTCGTTATCACAGTTATAACTACATAATAATGACATTATTCAAATGTTACTAAATTTTATTATACAAATAGATGATTCTTTTTGCTATCTGACTATTTTTCAAATCGATAGTTATTTAAACAATGAGTCTTTGTGTCGTATCAATGAATATATAGAATGGATATTAAAATTTTATCTAATTTTTTGTCTAATGAGCAACCAGTATACTTGAGTGCAATAAGAATAAACGGTCAGTTTGAAAATACAGATAATTGCCAGATGGTGTCATAAATATGAACGCATAGAGGGTGGGATTTGCAATTTAAGGACGCCACGCAATGTGGTGCAGGCTTTCTTATAAATTAAATAGGACCAACTTGGGAGCATACCCATTAGAATAAAATATTGCCTGATCAAACTGATACAGCCATTCCAGAGGAATACACAAACAATTATTTTGAAAAATTAATTCAAATATAGAACCTTCTTAAAATTGGTTCAACGCTTTCAAAATTATATGCGTCAATATACATAAAAAATATTGAATACAGAATCTACTCGTTTTTTAAAGTCAACAAAAAGTGATGTTATAAGTTGAACTATTGTGCAATATTTTACAATAGTAATAAAAAAATAGTCCGTTATATTCACTACTATTTACTAGACAAATATACCAAAAATATCTTCCAGTCAGTAAAAAACATTCAAAGGTAAAGGGAAACAAAAATAAAAAATATACCTGCTGTTCTTTAAGAATATTATTCTTGTCATTGAGAATAGTATCAATGGACTCTTTCGCCGCACCGGCATCATTCTCTTTGGATTTCATGAAATCTTGCAAATTCTACAGGTAGTGTAAATAAACAAAAGGAGAAAAAAAATAAAATTATAATATAAAGAAAATTGTGTATTTGATCTACGCATTATGTACAACAAAAAATCGAAGTATTCAATTGCGCTAGTCTAATCACTCGTAATCATTACCTTCAACTCTTGTGCGAAACTTTTCTCCGAGATGATACTCTCATCGTCATCTTCCTCTTGTCTAAGAGTATAATCAAGGTTCTCGATAAGTTGGAATTCCGAACAGGCTTCTAACAATTCTTTAACAACTTTGTCATTGTCACTTCGTGCCTCATCAACTACGTCGATATTCTGCTGCACGTTGATAGTTAAATTCTTATTAATTACGTCACAAGCAGTGTGATTTGATAGTTTTTGAGAAAGTGTGTCGTGTTCTTCCTCGTCAACTGGTAATATATTAGTTGTCAATTCTTCGCTTTCTTTTTTCACTTCTTCGACGGGCTCGTTGTTAGTTTTCGATGCAGTCTGTAAATCGTAATCTTCCATACATTTTTTTCTTCCATACATTGCTCAAGTACTTACCTCTTCGTTTTCAACTTTCGGCGATAATACTGACTCTTCTTTTTCATTACCCAGGAAAGAATTCTTGATGTAAGAAAAAATCATACCTAATCCACCAACCACAACTTCATTTTTTAGCGTCTTCTCGTTGGTTTTCTTCTCGGGATTACCACCAAAATCGTTCATGTCAACCTTCTCGAAATCTGTGCTGTGATCGCTAGGTGTCGCCGAATTCTTGCTCGATTCAGAGTCACGACTCACCAACTCCTCAGCGTCTAAGAAATAATCCTCTTCTTCCTGGCATGTGTCAAACTCTCCGGATCTACTCATTTTCGCTTCTGTTTTATTGTCTTTATTAAGTGACAACTTGGCCAATGGTTCAGTTTCAACCAAGTTCGTTATAATTTCCTTAGATTCCTCCTCCTTTGATATTTTCTGAATCTTCTCTGAACCAATTGCACCAAGTTTCGACATATCGACGGGGTTTTGGTCAGCATTTACTTCCTCGGAATTTGGAATCTTTCTTTCTGAACCTATAGCTCCAAGATTAGCCAATTCGATAAGATTGTCCTCTTTGAAAGAGTTTCCTTCGATCGACAGCATTGTTGTGAAGCATGGAAGGGGATCGGGTATAACGTCGGTGTTACATAGTGTTTCCAAATTCGAGTACTCTTTGGCTATTGTACTCAAAGCGTTTTCTTTCTGTAATTTAAAAATAAACATTGTTGATTCTATTACATTAATTGAGAAATAAGGCAGATATATACTCGGAAAATATATTTGGAAAATATCTATGTCGAAACTTTTAAAAGTGTGATATATTGAGAAAAAACGTTATATAAGGTTGGAAAATTCTCATTATCCTTCGCGGATGTCCTGGCAGTGGTAAAACGTACTTGGCACAGAGCATCGTCAATCACACAATGCACGGCGACTTTCAAAGTCATATTTTTAGCGCTGATCATTATTTATCGCGTATAAACAGGACATCCGCGAAGAATAATGAGAATTTTCCAGCCTTTAATAACGTTTTTAATATTGACCGGTAATCAAACAGATTTTCAATTCAATATCACTTAAAAAGCAATATGAATAAATTTTTTTTGAATTTTTCAAATTGCAATAACTAAATATTAAAGATCAGAGAGTAAACCCCAATTTAAAAATAATCAATATAAACACATCATTTTGCTAATAACGTTTTACTAATCATTTTTGGCCTCTTTGAATGAGTGGAATGATGTATTTGTATTGAATTTTTTATATTGTGGCATACTCTCTCATCTTGGATATTTAATTATTCAAAATCTATATGTTTATCAAATGTCTGATTAAATTTTAACAAAATGTCTAAGAAAATCATAAAAAAGGATTTTTTTTCCGTAGAAAATGTAATGAATTCTCATAACAAATGAATGACATCGTATAAAAAAAGTGCACAGAGATGTCACAATTACTTACCCGAATATGAGTTGTAGATTTTAATCCAGACAATGGCGGCAATTTGCGTATCTGTGGTGGTCGATGGTATGGAGCATAACTAAGATTGAACATACGAATTAAACGATCACCACTGATATTCCGTTCGAAACGATTGATCATCAATTTTATCTTAAGTTTCGGTACTCCATGTTGGTTGCGTTTTGCGAGTTCGGAAATATCGTGAGCCCAAGGTGTGTCTGGCTCAAGTGTTTCTATAATGTAGCCATTATCTACCTAAAAAAATAAGTCAATGCTTTATTTAACTGTTTTTGTAAGTAAAAATTATTTTTACAAGTTAGGGATGAAATCAATGAAAAAAAACACTAATAAAAATTCCATGAACAAAGTATGTTTTTTCCTCATTATTACTGAGGCTATTCAACGAGGACTATTTAAATCGTGAAAATGTTAAAGCGGTTGTAAATATTTATAGCTTTTCTCTGGGTAGGCTTCGGTATCTTTCATTAGTTGTTCAGAATTTATCATAAAGGAACGGAATTATGATTTCTTGTAGTTATATTTTTAATTATTTTTTTTATGTCAAATGTAACTTTATTGAAAAAATTAACTACTCACCCCCATTAAAGCATAAGGTTTCATTTCCCAAGCTTGTGTATTTGTATTATCAACTATAATAGGACTAATTCCTAATCTGACAGCATTGGCAACTTTACTCTGACAATCAGCATGTGCATCGTGAAGTTTGCTTGGATCGAACGCATATACACCGCCATTTATACGCGATAAATAATGATCAGCGCTAAAAATATGACTTTGAAAGTCGCCGTGCATTGTGTGATTGACGATGCTCTGTGCCAAGTACGTTTTACCACTGCCAGGACATCCGCGAAGGATAATGAGAATTTTCCAGCCTTTAGCGATATCCGACTCTATACGTTGAATATCCTTCTCGTAAGCTGTTAAGGGTTTTGTGGATGGTAAAGTAGGCAATTGATGACGTGGAGTACACGGTGGTGAGGGCGTGCTTATACATTCGACCTGTGGATGAAAAAATAATTTTTTTATATATTTTGATAAGATACTGTAGAAGATAGATAAATATTAAGAGTTTTGCCATTGTGTATACTTGATAAAAAACGTATTATAAAAATTCTCAAGCATCAAATGGTAGTTTCATTGAAGAATTTTAATAACTACCTTTGGGAAAGTATTTTTCGGAGGGCATTGCGTGGTGTTCGCAAGGAAATGGCACACACTGATAGGTTCAGGATCGACCTTATAATCACTGGCCTCATCCTCGATCACCACATCAGCATCATCATCTGACTTGTAATCAATCCCTTTTGGTCTGTATTGCACTTTCAAGCCACACAACGAAGCAGTTTCAATTTTTCTCGCTTGACCTCCAATAATCTGGTGCGATAAACTATCTTTGTCATCGTCATAAACTTTTTCTTCTTGATCATTCGATTGTGGAGAATCGGAGTCTTTCAACGCCTCGTACTTTTTCAAATCTTCATTTTCCTCGTTGTCGATGATTCCACTTTCAATCCACGGATTCTCTGTTGGTGGAAACTCGTCTGTTTGCCATAAATCATCTTCGGAAGTACATGTTTCCAGGAAGTCCGTGTTACTTGGTTGAATAGCTGGTTGTGAAGACAACGTTATTAAAGTTTCTATTGCGGGTTCCACTGGAATGCAAATACCATGTAGTTATATTTTTTTGCACTCAAACAGGTTTAAAAAATGTATTGACACGACCTGTAATAAATATTGAGAATTCAAAAAAAAAATTTATTAAACATTCAAAAAGCAAACTTCTATGAATAAACTCACAAAGACTTTATCAGCGTATGTTAATATTAGCATTCCAATTCCAATGCAACGTTTTAACGACTAGACTTTACATTGCGAATTTCAAGGTCGCGGCAATTCAAACGGCCGTGAACATAAAAACTCTAAGAATTTCAATGTATAACTAATAATTGCAGTGATACTCACACTTATACTGGAAATGATGAGCAACAGTAGCAACGATATCAGCCCCAAAGGTAGTATCAAACATTTCATTCAGCTGTGCCAGTACTTTAGACTGATTATCACGAGTCCTTTTGTCAGGTCGCTTGCGCTGTGGCAACGCTGCCCATTCGTTGCTGTTGGACGCCATGTCTTGTACTGACGAAACTGATAGTCGCAGAAATGAATATCTCGGTTATCTGTTCGGATGTCTGAATAAGCATGTGTGATATCGATTAGTTACATTGTTAGTTTATTTTCGTTGATAAACGAGAAATAAAACAAAGTTCTCTCTCGAACGAAAATAGACGAAGCATCGTATATTTGATGTTTTACTGTCTGCTTTGACTTGTTAACGAAGAAAACTGTATGTTTCGTAATAATTATGACGTCAATTACGAATGTTTCAACTTTATGACAGTTTACGCTTTTCCGGTAAAGTTTAAAACTTGTTCAAAGACCAAACGGCTTCGTAAAAAATTTCCAAAATATTTTTTTCTCTGCTGACTAAACTTGAGTTGACCCTTTAAAATACTATTTGCATATTGCAACATACTATATTCAGTAATGAGCTGATGGAAAGAGACAAAACAAAACTCAAATCGTTATGATTTAAAAATAACTTTGATGACACGTTCAGAGAGAAAGAGAGAGAGAGAGAGAGAGAGCGCGAGAGAACAATGCACCCTATGATAGTCATAATAAGAATGTTTCTCTTGATGCAAATTAACCATTCATTTAAGAAATCCAATTTTAATGTTTACAAACACATCAAAATGGTATTTAGATTCTTACCCTTCTCTCACTGCTCGTAACGTTGTATCACAGGTTAATTTTCTTCATCTCAAGCAAATCCTAATTATAATTAATCTACAATAATCGGTTAATATTTCATCAGCGATAAACTCTTGTGCAGCATGTATACATATACTCACGTAAAATTCACTAGATATGTTCAATCTGAATGTTTACATAAGACATTCACCAAATACCTGTTCGCCCGCGTTATATAGGTAACTAACACACGCGCAACATTCATGTATCGTCTTTATATGCTTTGGTCTGGTCTGTATTCTCTCCATTTTCATAAAATGTAAATACTGCACGTGTATGTAAAACGCACAATGGCGTGTGTGTCGAGTCGGAAACACAGCACAGACGCAATTGAGAAATCCACGATGACGAGGGTTATAACACGATGACTGTGGGCGAGAACCTGTAACAACTGCCAACCAGGCTGCTGTTGGTGTGCATGCGCCGTGTTACAGGCATCAAAGCCAAGCCAGCTGATAAACAGCGAGTAAGATGACGCTGTGCGTATCCACCATTTATTTGTTATGCAGTAGAGGGGGTTAGAGAAAGAGGGGGTGTATACGTGCGTGTATCATTCGGCTGTTAGTATTATGTATCAAACTTTAAAATTCCATTGGGAACTCTAATCACGTTGTACGTGGATGAGGTGTAGTTGTGCGCTAAAAAGTATGTGATAAGGCATAGTCGCTATACGTTTGTAAACATACTTCTAAAATAAAAACAGATAATTCGGATCATGTAATATACGTCAGTAAATTACTCGATTGGTACTGTTTTATATACTAATCGAGCACAGGTTAGGTTTCTGTTCGGTAAGTTTCGAGTTTCGCAGTCGAGTGTCACAGCTCGAAATAGACGAACGCATAATGGGATATAGAAGTACCAGGGACGTCGGCGATACCGACCTAGAGTTACCTCCTCTACGAAGTATCAATGATTTCATCCTCGAGTCTGCCAGATTTCAGATTCCAAATGTAAAAGATCTCGATAAATGGGGCAATCGTGTCGTTAACAATTTGCTCTATTACCAGACCAACTACTTTTTCACCAGTGCTGTCATTTTTATTCTTGTCGGGTGAGTTTGATTAAAATTTAATTATGTATACATGCAAATTCTATATGAAACATGAGTAAGAAATTAACTTCTGAATGAGACAGATTTGATTATGATAAATTGCTTTTTAAGATACTTTCTTTTGAGTTAACATATCACTTTGAAATGAAAAAGAGAGAGTGTTAATAAAAGAGATGTTAGTAAAAATTATACGAAAGAACAATTGTTGTTTGAGTGATCTATTTTAATTCCAAGCCTATGGTGATATTGACTAAGTCACATCTAACTTATAAAAATTCTTTGTCTAGTTTGATTCATCCTATGAAAATGCTGGTTGGAATGGTAGTGAGTGGCCTCACCATATTGGCCTTTGCCTATATTTCAACAGAAGGAAGAGCAGTACATAATTTTAAAAAAAAATATCCTGGTGCTGGAATTTTGCTGATGTTAATGGCTGGTTGTATTCTCACTTATACTTTGGGTTCTCTCCTTGTATTTTTACTTGGTATTCTATTACCATTTTCTGGTAAGTTAAATATTATATTAAATATTACACATGGTTTGAGTACTGCTTCTGTAGAGTATAATAATATGTTTTTATATTTATAGTTATATTTGTACATGCCTCGTTGAGGCAGAGAAATCTGAAAAATAAAGTCGTTAACAAAATTGAAGGAATTGGCCTAAAGCGATCTCCAATGGGGATATTCTTGAACCAACTTGGTATGGAACCAGATTTATTCGATTGAACAAAACTTCTTTAAGAATCTGCTTCTACAATAATGTATAATATTGAAATATTCATTTACTTTGGAATGTCGAAAGCTTAACTATCAATAATTTTTAACTTTGCAAGTATAGATATAGTTCAGTAAAAAATATTTTTAATAATATACTGTAATAATATACTGTATATCAAATTGATTTTCAAAATTAATACTTTGAAGAGTTTGCAACACCTATTCGCTATTGCAAGTACTTTTACATATGTCTATGAGGAATATTTATTTTTGTATTATATGTATACATCATCATCTTTGAAAAACAATTATGGCTTTTGTATTTAAAGTCAATATTTTTCTGAGATATTCATGATAAACTCAGGTTGTAGGATATATTGTTTGCTTAAAAAGCTTTAATCTTTTGTATCATATTGAATGTAATGTGTTTATGTCTATTTATAAACTTTACTCAATTCTTGTATTTATTTTTATTTTTTCACTTTGTATATGTAGTCAATATAGTATTGACAAAAAATAATATGTGAAACTTATGTAATAGTACATTACGATACAAGTGCGGGAAAGTAGATTCTTGTCTCGTGTGGCGTTTACGCCCGAGCAAAGCGAGGGTGGAAAGGTACACGAGACCAAAAACTCTTTCCCGAACATGTGTCGTACCGTATTTTTTTATACGACGTGTGGAATGTGCGATTTTCAACGCACGTTTTCTGCCGAGCGTGTGGGAAAGACGCACTTTGTGTACGGGGTATCTAAAATACTAAAATCTATTTCTGTTAGTGCTATTAAGTCTTCAAATTTTATTGTAAACTCTATAATATTCTCAAGAAAGCTTATGAAATATAATCAAAGTATTGTTAAATAAGAGCAATAAAATATGTTAATTATTAGTCTTTACATAAAACCGCATTAATTCTTTTATAAATTTAATTTTAATTTTTTTATCTGTTTTGGTTACTGTGGACCTATAGATGACTTAAGTGGTTTAGCTTTGAAAGCGCAAACTTCGTTTTTACAAAAAGTTGATCAGTAACAAATCTCTCATGGAATGAAGTACTTAAATTCAAGGAATGCTACATATATTCTACAACGGATCTCTTCAATTAACAAGTTTTGCAAAACCAAAGACATTACAAAAACTGAACTCAGTTTTGACACTCCAAATTGTCAACACTTAATTGTATCACCAAATAAGCTTTCCATCATCATCATGTTTTAAGTTAATTAATATTTTTATTTTCGTTCTTGTATTAAGTTTCGAAAATGTTTGTTCTGTTATATTTATACACATAGCTATTGTATTAAATAAGAATTTTATATATGATAATTATCAAATTCTGTAGTTAAGTAATTATCACATTTCTAACAAATTATTTATACGTAAATGTTTGAACTTGTTTTATATTTCTATATGAGAAGCACTTGATGTTGAATAAAAATTAGTTTTATAAACGACTTTACTTTCTGAACATTATTTAATTTGAGCTATATCAATAGTTGATTAAAATTGTTTTTTTAATTCGTATTTTTTCATTCTTTATTGGTTTTCATTCACTCTATATGCCTTATATTATAGTGGTAATTTCGTGCGCTGATTTGTTTGGGCTGTCTTAGGGCCCTACTATTTTGAAATTTATTATGAAAAAATTTAAAAAATTTAAATATTCACCCTAAGCTTTCATTCTCGTCGACAATTAATAAAGCAGGAAAAAAATCAGTTGATATTGTGATTTTCGGACATTTTCTAGGGGTTTTTAACGAAATAATTTATTTTGAATTTTTCCTCCTTATTTGGACGATTTCATTTATTGTTAGTACAAAAGAAAATAATACAATACTTTTCTGTAATACATTATTTTATTACAATAAATTATTTACAGTAAATACAGTGATGAAATAAAGAGACGATTTAAGTTTATGATTGGCAGTGTTAGGATGAGTATGTAAATAAAAAAATTTCATTAACTTTATGTACAATTGAAAATCTTAGAAAAGTTTATAGCATTTTTTAATACAAATGTTATAACAACAAAATTGACATAAAAAATAGAAATCTAAAAAAATCGTAATTTAAGATTTCAGTTACGAAAAATTAATGTAAAAAATAGTTACTAGAAATGACTAAACTTGAATTTATTTCTTTTTTTCACTTTCTTAAGTCTGAGAATTCAAATCAACAAATTACATTATACACTAAAATTTTTAACACAATTGGAAACATATTTCGATTGGATAGACTAAATTTTCGTTATGAATACTGTGTTGGAAGGATACAAGATAGTATCTGATAATCGAAGACTCATTGAAAGTTCGCCTATGTTTGTTTTTGGAAATGGTATGAGGTATGTATATTCTGATGATTGGTAGCCTATCTTTTCCATTTTCTTTATAAAACCCTGAAACATAGAAATTATTGTTATTTAAATTAATTTTTATTAATATAATTACATAACTCTTAATTACCTTGACCGTATCATTTTCTGAGATAGATATTGTTTGTTTATTGCCATTTGGTAGACGAAGACATACTTTAATTGTTGGAACATTAGGATCTACAGGTTCTTCCTCTTCCATTTCTTTTTGCATTTGTTGCTCTTTCGAACCCATTTCATCTATTCTAGATCTTTTGCTAACAAAACTACATGTGCTATTTATTAAATTGACACTTGTACTTGGTTTGGGATCTTTGTTATCTACAAAAAACATAAAATTGAAAATATTGTAAGTAATGAAAAAAACTAATAATAATCCTATACCTGAATTTGAACTACATCCAGCTTTTTTATCATGCTCGTGAGATCTTTTTGAATTAGATGGAATATTCTGAAATACCATAACATTTGTATAGGATTAGAAACTATAAATGCTTATAAAAGAATTTTCCTACCGTTACAACAGTTGAATTAGACATCATGCTACTTTGCATATTTGTAGACGTTTGTTTGACTGGTACTGATTCTACATTATCAGGTGATGCATGTGTACTGAGCATGTCATTTAATCCAGAAATCAAACTGTCTACAGATATATGATTGTACGATCTCATACATTCGCCTGTTCTTGGATCTATTATTGCTAAGTAAGGGTAGTCCGTGACATTGTAAAAGTCTATGTATCGTTTACCATCAGATGAATTTGATAAAACCTATTAAAAAAATTATTTCATTCAATTTTCAATAAGCAAACTACAAATTACAATAGGAAGAATGAAGTTACTCACTTGCCACAAGACAAAGTGATCTTTGACAATTTCTCTAATTTGTTCATTAGGCCAGACATCTCTATTGAGTACTTGGCAAGCAAACTCTTGCTGATTTTGTACATTAACTAGTAGCCATCTGTTGATGCTCTTGGCATAATCTCTAGCTTCCGCAAAGGTACCTACAAATAATATATCACAAGGTGGCCTAAACAAATCTTCCAAACGCTTCTGTCTGCTACTTCTTGAAGATCTTCTGACACCGGAAGCCCTATGCATCATTTCTTCCTCTTGTCTTCCTATAAAATACATATCCAAGAAAACTTCATTTAAGTAACTCAAAAAAATATCTGTGAAACTTACTTGTTTCAACTGCAAAATCTCTGAATCTGTCAAATATACTGTTAGAAGCCCTGGGAAAAGAACATGTAACATCTGGTGGTACAAGAACCTCTTGAGTTGGGAGAATAGGAGCCCTAACTTCAGACTCATCAACATTGACAACAGGAATTTGTGCACTAGCTGAAGGTGCAGAGCCACCAGACTCAAACAGAAGACTTATTGCTTGTTCTAAGTTGCCATCAGCAAGTGATAAGTATTGAGCAGCTGTTGCTTCTTCTTCACCTTTTATAAACATGTCATTGATTATTATAATAAACAATTTTGTTGGACATGTTATCAAATTTAATAGCCAGAACTAATTAATAAGTTCAGTAAATGTAAAACGACCGGAATGAGTATGAAAAAACATTTTAGATTCAAGGGAAACTTCGAATTTCAGCAGAAACTCAAGAAACAAACAGTTCACGTAACCTTAAACATTTATGCAAATCATCGCTCAATGACAGAATCAATGGAACAATTGTTAGCCAAACTTACCAGTAACTTCGATAAACTTTTCCACGAGACTATGATCCATAATTTCTCGATCCTAAGCTATCCGAATTCTCAGGACGAGTATTATTTTCAGAAGTAGCAGTCAAACGGCTGCGGTGACGCTGGTATAATCAAACTCGCACACAGGAATAGAGAAGAAGGGCCCCACCACCTATAGTTTTTCTTTTGATAATATAGGCGCCTTGGCGTCTGCGTGAACTGCTTCAGGTAAGGTTGGGTTTTGACATTTCGGTTTACTTCACGTACCTGCCCTCTATATAGCGATACTAGAAGCATTGATTATTACCTATTACCGATACGATAGGACACCATTATAAAAACATTCTCGCATCTAATTGTAACTTCTATTAACGATTGCCGATTAAATAATTGTAAATTGGAATAAATTTGAATGTTTTAATGGTTGATTTCTTTTCTTTAATTTTCAATCGGAAAAAATTTCCAATTCAAGATCTTAAAAATTAATATATTTAATTCAAAGGATACATCTGCTTGAAATCGAAGCTAAAAGCGAAGTGTTTTCCCGATCGACATCTCGCGCTTGCAAACCAGAGAAACAGCAAGTCTGCAGGTGGGGCATTGGCTCCGCACACTTACCCAAAAATTTCCTCGAAATTTCTGGAGTCGGTAAGCTTGTCGGAGATTAGCGTAAAAACACTGCACGGGAAGACCATCGCCGATGCTGACCAACTGAGCCCGACCTTGCTGAAGCTGTCGGTTGAATGAGAGTGCCGATCCAATAATGAATCGTTGGTAAGCGGGGTTGGAAAATCCGATTAATCATAAGGAATTGCTCGGACGAATCTATCTTAAGGGTGATTCGGATACAGTAGAGAATTTAATGAGTATATTTATAGTATGAGAATTTAATTAGACGAGAAAGATCTTCTTTTAAAGTTCAACAGCACACTGGAAGTCCGCGACACATATCAATAGTTATCATCTACATCTCGGTAAACTATCTGGAAGGTCTTGGAGGTGATCACCGCCATAACGTCTTACTGCCGCTGATGACGCATCGTCTCTACGATTCTTCGATAAAAGAATGCCCATAGTTGGAAAGAACTTCTAACATGACTATTTTCAAGGATACAGTTTGCATATTAATTATCTGAAGGTATTGAATAATTTGCGAATAATTTGAAAGGTTTGCGAAAATAATCCTTTGCCGTCATAAGTAAATGTGTCGATATTAATGAACTTATCTGATACTTTACCGTGTAAAAATAAAAGTTTTCAAAAATTGATGTAATTAAAGAATCAAATTGATTGATTCTTTACACAGACTTTGAATGATTTTGGAGCAGAATATATCCTACCGGTTAATGCAGCACTCGCAGGAATATGCTCCAAAGTAGCTTTTTCAATAACAATTTCATAAGCCATCTCAATTATTATCTTTCCTTACAATCCTTAAAAATTTTAACATTCTCCTACTTCGACAACTGTAAATTTTTATACATTTGTTTACCGTCGAACTACTAATTATTGAATGATCATGTCGCAATTCTTACCTGAATAACTTTGCGTAGAGTGTAATAATCAAATTTCCACAGAGGCAAACTGAAAATTGTTAGTTGAAATGATTTAGGTATGCTCACGATCAAAGCATCTAAAGCTTTTGATGTAAAATCTGGTTCTAGAATATTGGTAGATGCAATTATTGTACGATGCTAAACCGACAATTGATTTTTCGTAGAGTTTTGAAAATATAGATTAAATTGCTCTACTTATTAGTTATTTGTGCTAGATTGCCGAATTCTTTTATGTATAATATTGCAACTTTAAACAAATTGTCGTACTTATAAAAGTAATTATCAAAAGCATTAAGTCACAATAAAAAAATGATATGTTTACACTCAAGAGATGCATGGAAGCAATTTTCACTAATTGGAAAACTTTTACCATGAGCCATCGGAGTTTTATTGTAAGTAATGTATCGAAAAGTATTAAAGACTCCATAAATATTAAGTTATCTATAAAATCACATATTAAAGCTTTTAGAAAAAACATAACTTATTTATACCATTCAAGGAATCATAACGTTTATAAATTAACTCACCACTAGTAGCTTTTTAAATTCTTTCTCGTTAAATAAATCATTTTATAATTTTCTAGGTAAAGGTAAAACGCAAACTTAACGCTTGAAGAATATTTCACCAAAAATTAACGTATGTATGTACAGCTATATAAGCTAAAAAGAATTTCTCGTTTTAATATTTAAAAAAGGCGACAGCAGCGGCTCCGTTCGAAAATCATTTACACTAGCAGTAAGTTTAGCTAACCTCGGAAAATTACAAGTGAACAATTCTTAGTTCTTACTGTACCTGTTTGTTACACTTCATTTCGTGTAATTTATCATTTCATAAATTATTGCAACTAATCTCGAAGTAATTTGATGATTTTATAACCCATTCTCAAACTCGAAATGTCTTGCAATACTTGTCAAGCTAAATTTTCGTTTTTCACGAAAGAGGTAAAAATTCATTTCGACCAAACGATCATTTCATTTTTGTTAAAAATTAATGTCAATTTTCGTTTTACGATAATTCATTATTATCTTGAACATCTATATGAATAACACATCTAAATAATTATAAGAATTAAATAAATGATATTTTTTTGCTCTGCTTGATAACAATTTTTATATTATTTCATTATTGCAATTAACATCAAATGTGCACATATGACTAATCCTATTGATATTTTATTCTTTGTTAAGAATGGTTGTCCCAGCTGTGGCTTTTCTTACTGCAGTAAATGCTTGAAGTATAAATGTAATCTTTCTGATGTTGGAGAAAAGAAAATTTGTGGACGATGCTTTAATAAATTGCAAAAAAAAGAATCTCCTATTACTCCAACAGATGACTTTTCTATTCCTGATGGACTTGCTCAACCTCTTGTTCCCATTGACATAACTAAAAGGTACTTATTTAATTGTCATCAAGAATACTAGATGGACATTTTATTATTTATTATTCTATTAATAATTTTGCTAATTAACTTTATTGAAGATTGGATTCATTGGAAAACCCTTCAAGGCCACCAATAACAATGTATAAAGGAAGTAAACTTGATAAATTACAAGTAGTTTTAGATCCAGTTGATCAAGAAATAGTCAATAGATTGAAAAAATTAAAAAATGAAGACAAGCGAGTACCTCGTCCAACAGAAGATGATATTAGACGTAGACTCGCTTTACTGAAAGATGTAGATCCTGACATTCTTCCACAACCAGTAAATGTAAGCATTTTTTATGTTAATTTTTCATGCTCAATAATTGTAGGGTTTCTTTTATCAAATGATTTTGTTTATATTTATAGCTAAATAAAGTAGATACAAGAACACCAGAACAAAAAACTAATGATTTGATCAGTGAATATCTTGATAGATTAGAAATTTCAAAAGCAAGTGAAAAAACAGATGATGATATTAAAGCTAGATTGGATGCCTTGAGAGGGGTAGATTCTTCAAAGGTAAAGTGAAAAAATAAAACTATAATTATATATGAATCTCATAAGATGAAATATTTATAAAATATTTATGATTTTCAAAGTACAAAGATGATCCTATGGCTAGCTATCAGGAATATGATGAAGCTACATCTACAAAGAAAATAATTGAAAAAGCTATAGCTGAATCTGCACTAGAGTCTATATATGAGGGAAATATTGATGAACTTGAAGAAGTACCATTTGATGTAAATATTGGAATTAAATTTTCACTCATACCTCTTCATGTAAGATATTTTATAATTATGATTTTCAGGCTCCATCACAGAATAGTTTGTATGAAGAAAATCTGGACACTTGTTGCATGTGTGACAACACTAAAAATCTTGTAATGTGTAGAGGTTGTACAGGAGATTTGTACTGCCCACATTGTTTTAAAAATAATCACGACGAATTTGAAAACCATAAGACAGTGCCTTATAAGCCATCACGACGAATTGTTGATTGAAGACAATCGAAATTCATTCCAATGATTGATTTAATTATTGTTTTATAATAGAATTGTTAAGTTATCAATAATTATATTAGTAGATAGTACAAAGTGACAAACGGTAAATCACGGAAAATTATTGACGAAAAATTCACGGATAATTTTGATGCTATAATTTTGTTAAATGTATGGTTGAGATTATTGTGCTGTGTTAAAGTTTGTAATTTTGTACACGGAAGCTTTGTATATTTCTCTAAACTGCGCCGTAAATGTAAAGCTGTGATATTTGAATATTTTTGTATAATTATGTGGACGTCAAACAAATTTTTAATGTCATGTGCTGCTATTTGAATGCACTTAAAATAGTTTTCATTTTGCTTTATACGTTGTATAATTTATAATGTGTTTAATCAACTACTTATAAACAAATTACACTTGGAAAATTTTATCAAGCTTACTAGTACTAATTTTATTTCTTATTAAAACAAAAAAATGTTATTCTTGACCATAATATTTGTTATTAAAGACCATTTAAAAAATTGTCCTGAATTTTTATTGCTTTGAAAATCTATCCGTCATTCCGATTTAAAATATAGCAATGTAAATATGCTGTATTTTAAAATGACTAACAAAATTTTCTGTCAACTAAAGATTATTCGCATTTTGAAAATACGTCAAACCTTTTTTGAAATAAATTATTTTGAAAAATAAAGTTTATGGAGTAAATTGGTTTTTTGAAAAATTATATATGAGGTGTATTTACGTACGGAGAGAAAGCTTAGCATATAGACATCTATGTAAAATGACATTTATTTTGGAATACTACTTCGCGACTCGAGGCCGAAATTTGAGTAATAATAGCAGCTTTTCTTTTCAAGTGCTTCCTATTTTTCGATTCAACTTTTCGATTTCAAGACTTCAAATTCCAAATTTACCCAAAATGATTTATGAACTTTAAATGTTCTTCAAGCCATAATAATATTTCACCCAAAAATTTCGATATTTTTAATCTTATTTATATACATTGGATGATTCGTTTTAGTTCTTAAAAAAAGATCGACACTGTTATATTTAAAATACCTTTGAATCATCATTTTTTTATTTTTATAACCTTGAATCAAAAAGGAGCCGAAAAAAGATGTCTGTAGATTATTTCTTAGTACATGTTGCATCAACATAAATTAAATAACAATAAAGTCAGATTAGGATTTAAGTTTTCACAGAATTCATCAAAAAATGGAATAAATAAAAACAAATATTAAAATACGAGTATTTTTTATTAAGAATTGTTATTAACTTTTTTCATAAAGTAATGCTTATCAACTAGGAAATTTCTCGAACACATAGCCTAAGGTCACGTGATGACAAAAGAATTTAACTCAATGTTGTGTAAACACTGCTCCATGCAGTCTCGCGAGGTAGCTGCAGCAAAATCTCTATATCCCGGAAGTATTGAATTGAAATAAATTAAAAAGTACAGAATCATGATGGATCGTAAAACCTTCGCACGTACTCATTTCACAACAGTCGTCAAAAAAAGCACACAACCTCTATCGTCGAGGACCCGAAATAAATAATCTCTACAGCTTTTCGTCATAGAAACAACATCGATTTACGTAAAAAAATGAAAGAAACCCGGCGAGTTCCCCGACAAATCGCTCGTGAAATGGCATAATCCGCCGGCCCCATCGCGCACAATTTTTCAGTCCTTGGACAGCAGTATCACCAGCTTTAGACTAGCCGCTTAGATCGATTGGCCAGGTGCAGGCAAAGGTATCGCAGTATCAGAAATAGGTTGCTGCTCTGATTGCTGTTTAACAGATTTTTTAGATTTCTTCGGCGACCTGTTTGGTTTTGCAGGTACCGGTGGAGGTTCCTTCTTCGGCTTTTCCGTTGTTGGTTGTTCTGGAGAGGCAGTCGCTTCTTTGACTTCTTGCTTCTGTTCTTCAGTAATCATAGCTTGACTTTGTTGTTGGTTTTCTTTACCCAATTGAAGTTCTTTGGCAGGTGACGACTGCCTAACCTCCATTGGTTGCTCTTGGAGTAGCTGTTGTTCTTGCGGTGCAGGGGATGCATCCATTGGCTCGTTTTTGATTGGAGACTCTTGTACGGCTTGTTCTGGTTGAACTGGTGTCGAAGCAGCTTCGGCGACGGCAGCAGCGGTGGTTTCCGTAGACGATCGAGTTGGCTCGGTACTTGATGAGTTTTTTGTAGACGACAACGGTGGTGGCAATGGAATAGCTTTCTGCTCTTCCTGAGTTGGTGTCTGTAAAATCATTAAAAAGCCACTTTAGTTTATTTTTTCGAATGGGAATTCATGTTGGGGTGACAAAGAGACTACGAGATATTGAATACCGAGTGAAACAGGTGATTTAATACTTTTTAAGACAAGTGATATCTATGAAAATACATAGCAATGCTGATCTTATTGAAAAAGCATCTCTTCTCCTATATTAAAATAAACTTTTCGATCGAACAGTCATTGTAACGAATATACAAAATGGATGTGTATACAATGAAAATTCAATAGGAAAGTCAAATTTCTGTATGAAGAAGACGTGTTTATCCAAAAAGAATCGGAACGGTGCTTAATAGTGTTACATTGTGCTACAATGACACATGCAGAACATTACACATAGATATCGACGATAAAGAAAAAACTTTGCTAACGTACTCTGCATTAACAGTGGTCACTAATAACCATTAGGTGGACGCGTCCTTGAATAATTGAAAGTTCCCATTACAAGCACTTTACATTATTATTGTGATTTTAAATTCGATTGCGTGAAGAAAACCAACATCGCTGATGATTTCCGACAAACAATCTACTATAGCATTGAAAAGTTTGTTAAATCAATGTACCTCTTGGGTTTCCATAGCCTCAGGTTTCACAGCCACAGTCTCTGTTTTTGTCTCGGATGATTGTTCTACAATCTGTTCCTCTTGCTTCACAGATTCTGTGCTTTGCTTTTCGTCGCGCTGCGGTGTTTGCGGACCTGATAATGAAGCCTTTGATTCGAGCAAACTAATTGTCTCTTGGATACTCTTGATGGCTTGCTTTCGTGCCGTTCGTACATTTTCTTTGCCCTCAGTGTCGATATCATCAAGTTTAATCAACTCACGCGTCAACATCTCATCAAGGTACATATATTGCTTGTCCGTTCGCGAGTTGCCCGAGTATTCTTTCACTTGCTCGGCTAGCGCGTTAACCTCTTGTTGCACTGCAGCAACTTTTTCTGAAAAAAAAATTGAATAATATTTATTATTTCTCTAGTTGTTGAAACACTAAGTGTGGAACATTAAAATATTTTTTAAATGGAAGTAATTACACTTACCCAAAGGATCTTTAGGCTGCACCTGCTGTTTGGGCTTAGGAGGTGCTTGCTCCTGTTGAGGCTCATTCTGAGGATGTTGTGGCTTTTGTTGTTGCTGCTGTTGTGGCTGGAACTGTTGCCTCGCTCGAGGTTGAGTTTCAGTCTGATAAGTGTACCGAGGTTTTTCTTGCTGCTGTTGCTGAGAATGTCGGAACTGTGGATGCGACGGCGGTGAGTTCGTCCATCTGTTTTGTGGTGGCTCGAAAAAAGGCTCCTAAAATGTTAATATTAATTATAAAAATAAGTGTCTTGAATTCTCTAAACGTAAATCGAAGAGATTAGCATTGATTATATTATCGTGAATCAATTTCGCGAGTAAATAATAAAATTAGTATTGCTTAGCGGCAGCGCGTGAACTTACATGGAAATGCGAGGTCCAGCCAGCAGGTTGCCTGTTGAACGACTGATAGTGTTGGGAAGGTCGAGTGAATTGAGGTGGAGATTGTCTCCTTGTGAAATCTGGTTCGTCGACGTCTTTGGCGATTACAGGCTTGTCTCTACCCTCGACAAAAATTGGAATCTGCCTGACGTTACTTTGCGGCCTAGTAGTTTTGTGCTCTTGCTGCTGCGCTTGTGGGGGCGGACTTTTCTCTCTTTGTGGCTCTTGTTGGATTTTTTGGGGCTGCTGTTGTTGCTGAACCTCTTGCTGAGGATTAATTTCGACTCTCGAGACGAAACGTGGCTCGTTCTGACGATTTTCCGGCGGTGCCGACATTGAACGTACGTTTCGCTGTTGCTGTGGTGCCTCCATGTTGTGCTGGTGCTGGCCAATGTCCACTGTGTTGCGTAAGCTGTACTGTGGGATCTTACGCGCGGACGGGCGTGAGTCTGTATCTGCTACTGAAGCCTGATCGGCTTCGCTGCCGTGGGAACTTACTCCACTTGCACCGCTTGCTGCGCTTCCGCCGCTCGCCTGCGAACGTGCGTCCTGTAGAATTCAAACCGAAATTACTCATCATATTGCTGAAACAATTGATAACCCTATCCCTATCTGATTTTTAAATAATGATGATCCATAACTCCAGATTTCAAGATCCGATTGATTGTGAACCAATTTAATTGTCGATATTTATAAAATTTATTTTTAAATCATTACTCATAATCAAGTACACGAATAAAAAATAAAATTATTATTACTACTACGAGGAAAAATTATTTTCGAGCAGTTATTTCCAAATTCAAATGGGGAAATCCACAACGATCGTCAACAAAAGATTAATGCTCTAAGTTATACAAACATGTATTTACAGCTTTATTTTTCCAACTTATATTCTAGGGACAAACGATTCTTATTTGCCTCTCGAAAGTGTTCATCAAAAATATTTAAGGGACACTGGCAAGGTTACTTTGATACCATACCTCGTCAGGATGACTGTGGAAAACGTTATTGGTCGAAGGCCTCTCCTGGCTAGGCCTCCTGTTGCCTCTCCTGAGGGATCCAGCGCTGAAGGGCACCTCGTCCCAAGCCGATCCTAGCAGATGGTCGGCGAACTCTGGATGCCTCGCGGCCAAGTCGTCGAGGCGCGAACGGATATCGGCTCTGTGGCCAAAGATACCCTCGTCGTCAAATGGGAAGCCCTGAGGAGTTTCCAAAAAAAAACGATTACAACTGGTGCATCGCGCGCCACGGTGTCTCTTGGGCGACTGACTGCTCGGAGAAGGAAAAAAAAGGCGCGCGTAGCCGTGGAAGCGAGGTATCCTTCGCTCGGGAGAGCACCGCGAGTGAGTCAGCTCGAAAAGCTTATATGCCTATTCCGGACGCGTTCGAGAGCTCGTTTCTCATCTGATTCGACGTGCCGAGTTTCCAGAATTTTTATCGTCGGCGATCGTCGCGTTCGTGATTTATCTATAGCCGCGACTTGGTCTGCGCTAAGCTGCTGGAATGAATCTGGCAGCGTTGGTTCGTCGAATGCGAGGCCGCCCAATCGACTAGAGGAGAAGCAAGCAAAGAACAAACTTTCTTTGTTAGCGAGCCTGATGATTGTGTGGGCAAGTCGTGAAAAAAAAAGAAGCACATGAACGCGCACTTTAGCGTGTAGGCGTATTATCTCTCTCTCTCTCGCGCGCGCGCGCGCGCACGGACACCCAGAAAACCCTGCTGTTTTTCTTTGTTTTTCCTTCGAGAGGTCGACTTCGCGCTGCGTCACGTGCGCGAC